TTTTTGTTTTCTGTGACCCAACATTACACAGGGGTTTACTATCATTTTCACTGAGACTTTCTGATGGAAAAAAGATACTTCTGGTTGGGAAATGACAATATCAAACGCTGCAATTTTCAGATTGGCTTTCAGAACTCTCTCCTGGAAGACACAATCAGAAAATACTATTTCCTTTGCCCAGCAGGTCCTACTCGTAAACCTTTGTGCTTCTAGACATCCTGTAAACATGTACTGCCCCAGGTTAGGAAGACGGGTCTTCTTGAGGACTTGAAAATAGCCATCATCAGAGACAGGATAAGGCTAAAAATGGACTGTTGGCTTGATCTGGGATGGCAGTCCCTATGCAAAATGCCATGTCAGCTTGGAACTCAAGTGGACTGTTATACGTGTCTGCTTTCAGAGAAAAGATTTACAGTGAAAGTACAGTCACATGCAATCTTTTCAAAAGAGCCACCCAATTTCAAAGCCACTTGGGTTCAGCATGTAAATACAGTCTGAACCACACACTAAAGCCATCCTGGTATGAACCACTTAAGTGAAAGTAGCTAGTAAAATATGTACAAAGACATTGCGCCATTCAGGTCAACACGTGACTAGAGCTGACTTCGTGTAGGCCACTGTGAACAGCAGCAGTAGCAGTACTGGAAGAGAAAAAAGTCTGAGCTAGGCCAAAGACAAAAGCTGTTGAGCATGTGTTATATAAGCCTCTTCACTCAAATAGATGCTTTCTTTTCAATTGCCACGGGTGGCACTCAGAAGAAACAGAGGAAAGCTATTTAGCAAAATGTGGTGGCTATTTAGCAAAAAACGGGAAAAAGTAAAATGTTTTAAATAAGCTCTAGAGGACAGGGACCGCCTTTTCTCCCCGTGCGGGTGATTTCAGCCCTTCTGGGAGTGTTGCCAGAATAAATATAATGATGTAGTCTTCTCTTTTCTTTTTTGAGAGCTCGTACTCAATCAATCATCGAGGCTGGGCTATTATAGACTGGTGGAGTTAAGCAGACCAGCAATGTGATCACTGGGTATCAGTTATGTCAGGGTCTCTCAAACAATGAGGTACAGCACAAGTTTTCCAAGTGGGAAGAAACCGAGGGATAAGAAACTTATCTTTAAGCCTTCTTGTTCTCTCCTTACTGCCCCATATTCCCCTGGATGAAAACTCAGCGAGTCACTGGTTTCAGCCTGCATCCATCTCTGAAGTTGGCTCCGCACTGCGAACAGAAAGCAGTTCTTCTTCCTCACTGAAACTTGCCCTAGCCAAACAGCTACGAAATACAAATGCTTCAGTATCTTGATGTTATGCACAGTGGTCATTCTGTACCCACCTTCCCTAAAGCGTGGCTTACAGGCAACACATTGCCTGCAAAACCTTCCAGTGTGTTTACGGACAAAGAAAAATGTTTCTTCTACAGAAACATGTTTCTTCAGGTTGACAAGGGGAGCAAAGTATGATTTTCCCTACAGCATGTTACTTGCTTAAAATGGAGGCTTGAGGCTTTTATGAATTTTTTTATTGTAATAGCTAGGGACCTACTGAATTTTGCAATGTTTGTGGAAACCACAAATTTGGTTGGTCTCCACAAAAAAGCCCGCACCACGCAAAAAAAGTGTGGGGACCATGAAAAGGCACAAAATCGGCAAGCAGGGGGTAAAAAAAAGAGACCTGCAAAAACAGAAAAGGATGGGAAGCCCTGACAGCCTGAAGCACACGGTAGGGAGGGGGGAAACAAATTGTAGGCTGAGCTCCTGATGTAGGCGCAGTCCAGGAGTAAGCTGGGAGGGTTGTGGTGCCAGTTTTTAAAGTGCCCCCAGGCATGCAGTCTAAGCACCACCCTGTTGGCTTAGAAACAGTATTTAAAGGCCTGTTTTTTGGGAATTGGCTTATAGGTATAGATATATGCATTATAACGGGTCAAGATGGGCAGCAGGGGTTAAATGGATTTGTAAAGGGCTTGGGAGACACACACACACACAGCCTGGGAACCAAAGAAGTATGTACTATATTGACCCACAACACAAGATAAGCGAGACCAGCAACAAGGCTTCAGAGAGCGGGGGGGGCTAAGTCCTGGTTTTGGGGGAACAGACCAAATTAAAAGAAGGCCCAGAAGGCTACGTGGACGTGTGATCACAGAGAGCCAACTAGAGATAGCCACGGATGAAGAGTCATCAGGAGTCATCAAGGGAGAAGGAGAATATAAAAGCAGAGATTTGAGATTAACAAAGGGTCCCTCCCTTGTCCCATCCCTCCTTGTTGTCCTTCTTCTTCTCTTCCTTGAGAGGGGTCCCCATCCCCATCCCCTGGGAAGGGTCCCCAAGACCGCCATGGGCAGAGGGCATGCCAGCAGCCCATCTCATGCACCCCACAGGAGGGGATCCTGGGGCAGGGAGGGCGGTCTGAAGATGGCTGATGACGCCAATCCAGGATAGACAGCCTGTTGCAACTTGGATATGTGTTTCCATGCAGAGTGGGTTCAATCCGTGACGTGGTGTTTCTGTTGCTCCCGCTTTTCCGTCTCCTGTTGTTGTGAGGTTTCAAAGTACTGAGATCCTTGCTGCACACTCTTCCTCCATTTGAGGAGGTCCTGGGCAATAGAGTCTCATGAGTTGATGTATTTTCTTCAAGTTGGCCTTGAGGACAAATGTCCTCGAAGCATTTTCTCTGTCCTTCTCTTGAGCATGCACCTTGACTGAGCTGGGAGAATAAAACTTGCTTTTTGAGTGTGGATTTGGACATCCAGATGACATGGCCAGCCCAGTAAAGTTTATATCAGTTGATCATTGCCTCAATGCCCATGGTGTTTGTTGTGAGAGGATGCTAATGTTGGTGCATCCATCTTCCCACAGGATTCGAAGGATCTTCCACAAGCAACATTGATGGTACTTCAATGATTTGAGATGTTTCCTGTACATTGTTCATGTCTCAACTCTGTACAGTAAGATGGGGATCACAATTGCTTGATAAACCATGAGCTTGATTATGGATCTGATGTTGTTGGGCGGTGGAGTTCACATGCGGCGGCAGTGCCGCCACCATCCACCACCCCTCACCTCCACATGCAAGGCCTCCCTCCCATCCTGCGTCCCGCCACTGCCACCCCATCCCCTGCTCCACTAGAAGTATACCCAAATAGGGTACATTCCTTAAAAAAGGTTGAAAACCCCTTTTCTACTTAATACTCTGTGCCTCCCGTGAAGTCAGATTCCTCAGTGACGACTGTGCAATTCCACCTAAATCCACATGATGTCAGCAGTGCATAAATGTACTGAAATAAGCCCTGCCAGCTTTGAATGTAGTGGAAGAGGCATCCCTTTTCCTATTCTTTTGCAAAATGAATCTTGCTGGCTTTACACATTTCACTAAACAATTTGCAACACATTCAAACATACCCCATTTAATTTTTTATTTCGTTTGATGGGAATTTTGGACCAAGTGACTATGCTGTTTAATCAATGCAAATAATTTGAACACCCCAATCAATCACCAGTCAAGTGGATTAATCAATTAGAGTCAAACAGCAGATGTACCGGTCACAAACTCTGCTCACCAGATGAGATGCTAATCATTTTCTAGGAAGTAGGGTAGGGCTAAGGACAATTATGTCCAGAAGAAAAGCCAGTGACAGAATACAAGTGTTGGGAAGATGTATTACTTAGATTGTAAGGCAGGGGTGGGCAAAATGCGGCCCTGGGGCTCGATACGGCCTGCCAGACCATTCTATCCGGCGCACAGGGCCCCTAAAAAATTTAGAAAATTAATATTTATCTGCCACTGGCTGCCTATCATGCAGCACTCGATGGCTTGCCAAAACTCAATAAGTGGCCCTCTGCCCAAAACAATTGCCCACCCCTGTTGTAAGGGGTATGAGGCAACAGTCTTACCCCATGCTGGGACAGCCTGGTCTACTGTAACACAAATGATACGTTTTTAAACCTGACTTGGCTTTTTCCTTATAGTCCACAGGGTGTTTCGCAGGAATCCACATTTCCTTCATTTATCTCAACGCTTCCAACAAACTTTCCTTTTTTTGTCCACCTTTCGGTAGAAGGCTGTGTTTGTAAGTGATATTGGCTTGTTGGTCCTAGTGACTCGAGTCCTGTGTTTAGCCATTCAGTCTTCACTTTTAGTTGTACAGATAGCAGGGTTGCCAGTGGCAGCCAGTTCTGGGTGGCAGGTTTCCTGACATCCGGTCTCTAAGAAACAGACAAGAGTCAAACCATTAAAATGCAGGTGTGCCATGTGCTCGGCTTCATTCAGCGTCACTAAGCTAAAGACGAGACAAAATAAAAAGAAGCCATCAAAAAACAGTGTTTTATAATTACCTGGGACTCTAAAATTGCTTCCTGTTTCAGTACTTTATTATGTAATAACAACAGGTCTGAGAGCAGAGCCATATTATGCCAAGCACTGTGCATAAATGTATAGTGAGAGATTCAAGCTATTCATACAGAAATGATCTGAACAGAGCAGTGATTTGCAACCCGGGTACTACTGTAAGGGTGCCACAAGGAGCTGTGCGCAATATTAGCACTGTTAGGTGTGCAAACATTTTACAATTTACAAGACAAACTCAGACATTTCAGATAGGAATCCATAGCATCAAAACAGTCTGACCTGTTGAGGTCTCCCTAAATTCCTTGCAACAAAAGAATTTGCCCTATTAATTTTTTATAGTGAGTGAAAACTAAGAGCTGAAATTCTCAGAGAGGTGCTTTGGGTCTAAAAAGGGTTAAAGCCACTGGACTAGAGAAAGGGCAAGAGGGGAAAGGAAAGTCCAGAGAGAGGGCGGGACTCGCCCAATGTCACATAACAGGTGGATGGCAAGGATATAAATTAAGCCCCTGGCATGCCCCAAGTCACTTCGGTTTGCCATCAGTCGGATTACACTGCCTCCCATTCCAGTCTGGGCTGGCTTGCTTTTGCAGAGACACTGTTATGAAGCGGAAAGTCCCTGTGGGCTTTCCTCAAAGGATGAGATCTGGCACTTCAAGTTGTGGTCTACTTTTTTTTTTTTAATTATTTTTTATTTTTTTCCCCCTCACGGATCACACTGTCCTCACATCATCGGGTAGGCGATGACAAAATAATTCAGCTCTGAATTAATCAGGTCTTTGTATCTTATGTAAATTTCTCTCAACATGTGGTCCTCTTGGTTGGTTTCGTGCTGACTTGTATAAATCCTCACCTGTGTGGAAGGAGCAAAATCAATTTTTAGTAAATAACTAGCCAAAATTAAACTCTAACGAACCTAACAAGGAGCCTAAATAAGCCTACTGCCTAATAAAAAAAGGTAAGTCAGTGGGTCAGGCTTGCAAGTCCTCCATCAGATTCTGGTCAGTCTGAAGTTACAGAGCTATCAGAAAGCATTTTGGTTCACCAAAGGCTAAATATATACTGAGACCTACTTCAGGCTATTTTATTAATATCCGAATGGCAGAAGATGTATGGGAAGGAGAAAAATACTGAGTGGAATAAACTGTAGCCTGTTTCCTGGGACCTACACACCTGGAAGATGATGTAGACAAGCACATGGGGTCCTCCTGGTTCCCAAGATACCATGGCTTATTTATAACCAACAGATTGTCGCAGGATTTTATTTTGCATAGTGCTCCCCAACAAGGTTGACCAAGAAGTAATGTCAGGACTGCATTCACACAGACATGTAGTAGGAGGTGGAAAGCTGTGTAGGCCATGAGGCAGGCCTGACGCAGGTGGAGTTCAAAGGCACAGGTTTGAAGTCCAGTGGAGGACAATGGGGTGCATCAAAAGATTTGGAGTCTGTCGAAGAACACCCCGAGATGAACAAAATATTAGGGCTGTGTGAAATTTCGCCCGGCGTGCTGTTTCAATGCGTTCCGAGCTCAAAACAGTGAAATTGAAACAAAACTAAAGCCTTCGAAACAGCTTTGAAACAAAACAAGGGAACTTGAAATATTTCGAAACATTTTGAGTTTCGAAGCCAGGCCTACTGGCTTCAGCGCCGGTCCCAGCCGGCAGCACCCACCATCTGTCAGCCGGCAGGCAGATTGGGGGCTTGCCCGCACCCCTGGGAGGGCTGCGGGGGCTATGCCAGAGTCCTTCTGGGGGTGCGCGGCCCCAGTCTACCTGCCAGATGACAGGAGCCAGGTGTTGCAGCCTGAGGCCAGCGGCAGCACCAATCTTCCCGGCGCTGGCTGCAGGTTGGGCCCAGCACCAGTCTGTCATCTGGCAGGAAGATCAGGGGCCTGCACCCCTGGATGGACTCCAGCAAAGCCCCCGCAACCTTCCCAGGGGCGTGGGCAAGCCCCCAATCTGCCTGCCTGCTGTATTTTATGTTTCCCTATGGGCGAAACAGCAAAACTGTTTCAACAAAATGAAATGGAATAGTGCTTTCGAAACAAAACGAAACTTGAAACAAAACAGTGTTCTGTCGAATCGTCAAAGCTGAAGTCAAATCGGAACGGTGCTGTTTTGCACAGTCCTACAAAATATACAACACTGGTATAAGGAAGTAAATCGTTTAGGATGGTATAAAAAATGCCTAGTACCATAAGATATGAAAGGGATGTAGGAATATTGTAATTAAAGTAAGATCCTTAATAATAAGCAAATTGTAAAGTGCAAGGCACCAAAACTGAATTGGTCATATATGGGCAATGATGTGTGCTTAGGTCATGGTCAGTAACATAACTGAGTAACAGTGGCAGGATCAGTAATAGGACAAGTTATATAAATGTGTGACTGGGAGTACTTTGTAATGTATAAGCACATTGATATTGGAAAAGTTGTCTTCTACTTGATTGTTTCTGTGTTCTATATCTCACACTTGCACTCTTTGCTGCTCCAAGCACTTTACATGGAAAACTACTAGAGGTGCACTGATACACTGGTCTGATATCAGATCAGTACCA